ACAAAGAATTTTATATTTGGTCATTATGAAATCACCAGCGCCTAGAATCATGCCTACCATATATAGGAGGCTCTCAGCAATTATTTCTTGAATGAATTAATGAGACATAATAGAAGAATTGCTAACCATGCAGCCTGTATACACACACTATTTCTAAAAAGCTCAAGTGATGATAATATATGTGTCCCACTTACCAATCAAATATGTAATTACCAGAAATCAGTAAGTACAAAAATGTGTTCCTTACTTACAAGTTACAAAAGAAGCACAAGTAAAAACAATATGACATTTCCCCCATCAAATTAGCAAGTATGTTTTAAAAACAGATTGACAATGCCCAGTATCAGGATGAGTAAGCATTTCTCACACTGTTAATGAGAAATCAGTCGGGGCGCCTGGGTGGCGCAGTCGGTTGGGTGTCCGACTTCAGCCAGGTCACGATCTCACGATCTCACGGTCCGTGAGTTCGAGCCCCGCGTCAGGCTCTGGGCTGATGGCTCGGAGCCTGGAGCCTGTTTCCGATTCTGTGTCTCCCTCTCTCTCTGCCCCTCCCCCGTTCATGCTCTGTCTCTGTCTGTCCCATAAATAAATAAAAACGTTGAGAAAAAAAAATTTAAAAGAAAATGAGAAATCAGTCTTGCGACTTCTCTGCGAAACATGTTGGCAAGCAGGTAGCAGCCATCTTAAAAATATTTGTGAAAATATTAGTCATTTCATTTTAAGAAACAATCTAAAGAAATAACAAGAGGACTAGACAAAGACATATCACATATAACATAAGCCTGTAACACTGCTTATAATATTAAAAAAAATTGGGAGCACCTGGGTGGCTCAGTCGGTTCAGCATCCGACTTCGGCTCAGGTCGTGATCTCGCAGCTCACGAGTTGGAGCCCCGCATCGGGCTCTGTGCTGATGGCTCAGAGCCTGGAGCCTGCTTCGGATTCTCTGTCTCCCTGTCTCTCTGCCCCTCCTCCGATTGTGCTCTGTCTGTCTCTCTCTCTCTCTCAAAAATAAATAAACATTAAAAAACATTTTTTTAAAGAAAAGAAAGGAGTTGATTAAATACATTATATTTCAGCCATTTAGCAAGGTGCTCTGGCCAACGAAATCCTGAATGGTCGGTTACTGGGTGATATATTCCAATAGTATATTAAGTAGCTGGCTGCAAATCTTCACCCCTCCCTATGTCTACACTCGCCTGCAATAGAGTCCACCCTCTCATATTCCTCTGTAGGTACTGGATGCTCTAAATGTAGAGCCAATGAACAGCTGCTCCTGTTTGAAGGAGTTAAAGAGTTAGCTGAGCAATGGCCAGCAGTGCAGTCAATCGAATCTGAATTTCCCATACATGTACCTAAAATAGAGAACCATGATAGGGAGGTAGCTTTACATGGCAGGTCAACATCCGAACAAGACATAAAATGTGTCCTCCCCCACTCCCACCCCCCACGTCAGGACACAAGACCTTCTGTCACACCAGTGCTTCCTCTGGGTCTTTGAGGTGGAGTCTACGGCACAATCCGGGGTCTCTGAAAGTTTCCACGGGGCTGTGTGTGTGTGTTGCCCCCATGGAGTGGGGAGAGTGCACGTGCATTTTGGAAGACTGGGCTGCTTGTGTGTTTGTTCTCCACGACAGAGAAGGAGCAAACACAGAGTCCTCCTGCTGGTGACGCGGTGGACGAGAGCCTCCCTGGGATGTCCTTCCCCAGTTCTGCAGGATGTGAGAGGGGCTTTTGGCCAAAAGCAACTTTAAATGTACACCAGCAGCAATAAATGTAAGTGACCATCAAGCTTTGGTCTGCTCCAGAATCCCCAAGCTGTTCTCGGATCAGCTCAGGTCATAGAGGAACTATCTCAGGTCTGGGCTTCAAGAAGGACCTTAGCCATGCCCCTGCTGCCACGCTGGCCCCAGCCACCGTGTCCCTTCTCCTGGACGAGGACAGCAGCTTCCAAAGCTGCCACCCACCTTCCAGGCTTGAAACGCCCCACCCCGATGCCACACAGTAGCCAGACTTGCAGATTCAATGGTTTTATGTCTAAATAAGGTAGGTAATGTCAGCCTCCTGCTTAAAGCCCTGCAGTGACTTCCTGCCTTTACGGAAAGACCCAGGCTCTGTCCGTGGTCTTGAGAGGCCCCGCACAATTGAGCACCTGGTACAAGTCTGATCTCCGTTTGTACAACATTTCTTTGTTGTCTACAACAAATTATCCAAAATTTGGTGGCTTAAAAATAACAGAAATTCATTCTCTCAGGGCGCCCTGGTGGCTCGGTCGGTTGAGCGTCAGACTTCAGCTCAGGTCATGATCTCGTGGTTCGTGAGTTCGAGTCCAACGTCGGGCTCTGTGCTGACAGCTCAGAGTCTGGAGGCTGCTTCGGGTTCTGTGTCTCCCCCTCTCTGCCCCCCCCCCCCTTGCTCTCTGTCTCTCTTTCTCTCAAAAGTAAATTAAAAAAAAAAACATTTAAAAAATTAAAAAAAAAGAAGTATGATGTCTACAGAGTAGAAGTACAGTGAATGGCCCCAGGGCCTTTCTCCCTTCTTATCAGCAGGACACCTGGTGCCTAAGGTCACCACTGACAAGTGTCCCAGAAGCCACGACCTCCCCAAGTGTTCCCATCGTTTGAGAGCAAAAGGGGAAGAAAGGAGGAACAAAAGCTGGAAGGGAGTAAGATCATTCTGCCTGCCCCAATTCTAGTGCGATTGTCTCACCAAATGTATTTATCAGACATCTACCATGTGCCAAGGACGATTTTAAAGAATTTTACCGAAGTATACATGCTATAACACAGAATGCATATATTTAAGAAATGTAATATTTTCTAAGTTGCGACCTATGTGTTAGCCTGGAAGACCATGACCGAAAGCAAGAGAACAATGATCATCCCTCCGCCTACCCCCTCCCCCGCCCCGCACCCCTACCCCAATCTGCACACGACTGCTGGTCTGATGTCTGACATAGGCTTGTTGCATATACTGTAATTCCCTAAGAACGGAATCACCCGTGTTCTGTGTGGTTTCTTTCATTTAGCACAATTATTTTCAGACCCGTCGTGTTGGAGCGTGTATCCGTAGTCAATTTCCTCTGACGGCTTAGTGTTATTTCCTTATATGGACACATGGCTGCCCATGCACCTGTTGGTGGACATTCGTGCCCTTTCCATGGGCTGGTACCAATAAGGCTGCTACCAACGTTCAGGAACCAGGCTAGTAAATACTGGCAAATACCAAGAAGTGGAAACCCTGGGCCATAGGGAAGTATATGTTTAACTTTTTATTTATTTTTTTTTTATTAAGTCAACCGTTTTATAAAGTGGCCATCCAGGGGCACCTGGGTGGCTCAGTCGGTTAAGCGTCCGAGTCTTGATTTCGGCTCAGGCATGTCACGATCTCACGGTTCGTGGGTTCAAGCCCCACATCAGGCTCTGCTCTGACAGCACAGAGCCTGCTTGGGATTCTCTCTCTCTCTCTCTCTCTCTCTGCCTCTCTCCCATTCTCTCTCTCTCTCTCTCTCTCTCTAAAACAAAGAAATAAACTTTAAAAAAGATAAATAAAGTGGCCATCCGTTTTACTCCCCTCTAGAAAGTTCCTGTTTCTCCACATCCTCTCCTACACTTGAAAAGGTGGATTCTTTTCTTAAATTATACCCATTCCGATGGGCGTGTAAAGGTATCTCTTACAGTTTTAATTTCCATTGCTCTGGTTACTAAGGACATTGGCCATCGTTGTTCACGCACCAGCTCGCCATGCATCCATTTTGCTCTGTTGCCCGTTTGTCACGAGAGCTACAAATGATGTCCTTCCAGCTGGAACTCACATACAAACGACAGAGCCACGAGTCACCGCCTGGGAGGAGAGAACTGAATATACTGGGAAAATGAGAATAAGCCTTCTGGAGAAAATGCAAGCGGCTTCTGTCCAAGCGATGCCTAATTGTTCCTCGTGTGAGATGACAGAGCTCAGCCACTGACAGTGAGGTGTGCGTCCTGCCCCGGAGGACAACTGTCCGTGGCACTAAACACAGCAAAGACCTCCTAACAGAGGTCGCCCTCCTCCCCACTGGGAGGCAAATGTGATGCAGGAAAGAGCCAGGACCCTGGTGATGTGAGTGATCTGGCCATTCAGCTCCTGGATGGCTGAGTGAAGGTCAGCAAATCCACCCCCGACAAGCAAGATAGTGCAAAGAAGAGCAAGATAATGACCCAGGACTAGGGGGGTCCAATTGCTTAGATGGTCTCCATCCCAATCAGACACAATCTGTGAACTCTCAGCCTTTGAATTGCAATTGCTGGGGGGGGGGACATTTGGAGGACAAGGAGGGGCACACAGTCCCGCTTGGGGTGCAGGGAACCATAGAGCAGCCGGAAAGTGGATGCTCGTGTCGCCATCTGACCTTGGCAAGTCGTTTCAGCTCCGAGCCTTGGCGTCCCCATCGGCACCTGTTCACCAGGTGAGCGATCATCACGACGAACCCTGGAGGGGGCACTGTCGCATCTGCACGATGCCGCAGCGGCTGGGATTCGGTTAGTTTTGCCCAGAGGATAATGTGGATTCACTTTTACCAGATCCTACAGCTGGTGCTGCTGTAACTCTTACTATCTCGCGTTGACTACACGCAGGGCTCTGCTCCCTCTTTATTCTCCCAGCAGAGTCACCTCCACTTGGCAGCTGGGGAAACAGAGGCTCAGAGAGGCTCGGAGATTCGGCCAAAGTCGCACAGCGGTAACGCGGGGATTCGAACCCAGGTCTGCCCACATCAGGAGCACTGTCTGTACGCACGGTGGTCTGGTGCATCTCCTCCCGCCCGTCCTCTGGCATATCTACCACTTCGACCTGCCCTGCCTGGGGACAGATGACGATCAAGCTAACACTGGACCAGATGTCTCCATTCAGGATCGAACAGCCGGGTTTCCAGACATCACCCCAGGCTGGAGGGTCTGCTGCTCACCTCGGCCACCCTCTGCTTGCAGCGTCGGGAAGCTTCCAGTGACGGAGTGGCTCCTGCTTAAGCGTCATTAAGTAGAAGTTGCTGTTTCTGCTACAGATGGGCCGCTTTGGCTTGGGGACATCGATGTGCTATGTTTAGAGATCGCATTCAGTTTAAACGTCGCAGCCTGGCTCAAAATATTCCCAGTGGCTGTAAGCATGCAATTTTCCATCTTCATCAGTATTCCTGCTGCAAAGTCCCAGGGAGGCATTGACCACATCAGAGTCTGCTCATCCCACTGGGGGATCCTCAGTGTTCTGAGAATCTAGGACTTTGCACTATCTCCTTTTCTGTCTCCATCTCTCTCCAAGTGGATTTGGACTCAGGGTCACGGACGGACTCAGGGTCATGGACCGAGCCAGACGGAGTGAATATACGGGTTGGTTCCCATGAGCCTGGGGCAGGCACAGAGAGGAGTCTCTGCATCAGTGATCATGCCCAATCCCGGGGGACATCTCAGTGGCAGGATATCTTCCCCAGGACCTTTGGAAGGCCGCTGACCGATAATTGAGCACGCGGGTTCATCACAGATTCAACAGGAGGCAGCAGAGGCAACGTTGACCTTGGGTCTGGAGACGCTGGGGTTCAAGTCCCATTTCAGCCCCGGTGTCGTTTGGAAAAGCAAATCTCCGGTGTTGACTTTGTTGATCTACATTCGCTTCGAAGGATTTATCCTACTGTAACGTTGTCCCTTCTCGGGATTTTTTTTTTTTTTTCTAATTTCAAACCATTTACTAGACAATAAACACAGGTAATAAAGGAACTAAGCAAAGAACACGAAAGAGTGAGTCCGGAAGCCAATCCGTCCCACGGTGGCCGTGCGTCATTTCTCAAGCCGTGTGTTAGTAACGAGAATCCCCAATATCGTCATCCTTTTGGCCAGGCGGGTCTGGGCGGGAGTCTGTATCTATTTAATGTTGCCACCTCGCTGTCTCTGCAGCAATCCGGCATCACCTTGTAGCAGAGCCCTCCGCTGACCGTGCGGGACCCCGTTTGGGGCAGCCGGTGCCTTCCCTCCTTGGCAAGTCAGCGGGACAGCATCTCACGAGCAGGCAGCCTCACCTGCCCAGACGCGGCCCGTCCCCGTGCCAAGGCGAGCCTGGTTGTACAGAGCTGCCTCTTACACGGGAGTTTCGAACAGCCCGCGAGGGAGCCCCAGATGGGAACTCTCATTGGATGCAAAATCGCAGGGAGGCTGTGCGGCTCTCCCAGAAAATTAGACTGTGTTCTGTCCCATTAGGTTTCCTACGGCCCAAGCAGCTCCTTGCCGAGCGGGGTGACCGGCTCCCTCTGAAATCCGTCCTCCCCCCCGAGAGAGACGTGGGGACCTCACCACCCCCGTCCACGACTGAGCCGCCTCCTCGGCCGAAGGTAAATATTTTCCAGAGACGGAGATGATGGCTCCGGGGAGACCAGGAAATGCAGCCAAGTTGCCCGAGCTCCTTCCAAGTTTTCCTGCTCCCAGTTAAAAACCCGACGGTTTCTTCCGCCTCATATTGAACAGGCTACTTCCCTCGAGGGTATTAGTGTTATAAGCGTGCGCCTCAGATGCGGGGTGAGACCCACTATGGATTGCATTTACCAAAAATGCCTGCAAGGACGCCGTCCACATAACCTCACTGTGACACGGGGCTCTTGTTATCCCGCGGCGTGGGACTGGTTTCCCGTCCTTGATCTTGGGCAGACGTGTGGTTCCGGTAGAAGTTACACCCTGTGACCTCTGAGGCCTCATCACAAAAGGCCCGATCCATCTTTCCAAGGAGGAAAGGTTTGGAGTTCATCAGCGTTCGTTTGGATCCTTCCTCTCCTGTTAAATAAGTGAAAATAAATTTGGCACATTTTTACAAAAACAGCATGCAGGGTGCTGGTGCGTTTTTATAGCACATTATCCCCATTCATTCGGGGATCCATTTATAGCCACCCTGTGGGGTGAGGACTGAAGAAATGACAGTCTTCCGAGATGGAGAATGCAGAATTTAGGATCTTAGGGTTTGAGGTGATTTTTTTTCTTTGTTGTTGCCAAGCGTCTATGCTGCTTGACTTTTCCAGAATAAACATCTTTTAAAATAAAAAGTGAAGTCATAACCAAAACACAAAGGGGCGTTGGCTGATGGAGGCACACATACGTTTTGCCTACAAGCTGTCACCTACCCATCACTGCGCACGCCTCTAAGGAGCTCTTGAAAGGAGATTTGGGGGCGCCTGGGGGGCTCAGTCGGTGGAGCGTCCGACTTCGGCTCAGGTCCTGATCTCGCGGTCCGTGAGTTCGAGCCCCGCATCGGGCTCTGTGCAGACAGCTCGGAGGCTGGAGCCTGCTTCGGATTCTGCGTCTCCCTCGCTCTCTGCCCCTCCCCCACTCACACTCTGTGTGTGTGTGTGTGTGTGTGTGTGTTTAAAGCATACAGACCTAAAACGGACCTGTATTATTAATTTTCATTTGCTTAGTATAGGCTAAGCATTTTATTCTTTAATATTATGTTATGTTTATATTATACCTGATAATTTTATTTCTCTCTTATATTTCCATTATTTTATAGCACTGATGGCCTTGGTAGTCAGGACTCCACATCATGGTGAAACGCCAGTCCTCCTACCCACAGTGACAGGATTATGTCTTCAATGAGAACGTCACTGTCTGGGACATTCTCACTCACCTGTCTCCCCTTCTCACCACTAACAGCACGGAACAACTGCAGTCACCCAGCCTGTGACACATGTGGCCGCAGTAGCTGCTTTTGAAGTGGGTCATAAATACTAGAGATCGTGGCAGAACCTTTAAGAATTTGTCATGTCCTGTTCTTGCCCCAGAATCACCCAGAATTCTATACCCGGCTGACAAACAGCCGTTTTTCTTATGGGCTTGTTGATCTGGTCCATTTTTTCCAATTCACCTTAAGAAACTGCACATCTGTGAAGGTTGTCCTGGAAAGATGCGGGTCAATTGAACCAAATACCTTTCTAGTTTATTCTCCTTCTTCTTTTACATTTAGCTGGCTCCCATCTGCTCCCTGGGATCAATCATTTTGTATTTCTTTGTTTCTGAGTGTGGGCTAAGAAATGACTTCACATATAAACGCTGTCATGTGGCCACCGTGGCAGTGTAGCTGACAAGATGCTGGTTGGCATTCCTGTGCCATAAGGAGGCACAGATGTGGGCAGATGGCTAGCGCGGGGCACGATGGCAGTGTGGCTCCCACTCTGCAGGGACCCCATGTCCTCAGTGCTTACAAAGGGCGCTGCTCACTCTAGTTTACGCAAAAGCATCAAGGCCAACTTGCCCCAGGTTTATTCTGGAAACCAACAGCCATCATCCAGACTCTGGTCGGGTGACAGACTCAAACAAATACCTATAAATTTACTTTGGGATTCAGACCTACAAAAGCTTATGAGGTAAGAGTTAATCAAAGATAACTTTTGAAGATAGAAGAACCTATTTCTTGTTCTAATAAACAGGAACTAATCATACTACCTAATGTAAACCTTTGTTGTTCTTGATCACCATAAAAATCTATTGAAAACTAATTAAAACTAATTAGAGTCAGAATTTCTGCTATATGCAGTATACAATAGTCAGTATACTCAGTAAACAACTCTGACCAGTATGTACTGGGGACTAAGCGTGATCTGTAGAGAAAGTGGATGGATGAACGGATGGATGGATGGGTGGATGGATAAATGGATGGATGGATGGATGGATGGAT